AGACTTGATGCTTGAGGACATTGGGAAGTTGCCGACATTTAAAACAACAATAAGAAAAGGTATTTGTGCAGTGGGCTTCATCTATAACCACACCATGCATTGCTCTCAACATGATGAGAAAGTTCACCAACAAGATGGAATTCCTTAGACGTGGTATTACAAGGTTTGCTACATCATTCCTTACCTTGTAATGACTGCATACTCAAAGAGCAAAGCTTAGAAACATGTTTACTTCCGATGAATGGAAAAAGACTAATGTTTCCAAAGATCGAAATGCTAAGAGAGTTCTGGACATAATCCTTAATTGAACATTCTGGAATGATGTTGTTTACAATTTGAAAGTAATGGGCCCTCTTGTGCACGTTCTAAGGTTAGCGGATCATGAGAAAAAACCCGCAATGGGATACATTTACGTAGCAATGGATCGAGCCGAGGAAGCAATTCAGAATTCTTTTCAAGGAAATGAAAGGAGATACAAAAAAATATTTGAAATCATTGATTTACGATGGGAAACTCAACTCCATCATCCCTTGCATGACGCTGGTCATTATTTGAACCCTTCTTTCTACTACAAAACCCCAAGAGTGGACCTGGACAATGAGGTTATGCAAGGGCTTTACGCGTGCATTGAGAGGCTTAGTGAATGTGAAGAAATTGAAGATAAAATTTTATGTGAGTTGAATGCTTATAAGAGAGCTGAAGGTCTCTTTGTGTTGAAGTTGGCAGTAAGGCAAAGAGACACTCTTGGTCCCGGTAAGTTAAGGCAACTTATTCTTTTTTCTTTAAATAAGCAGCCCTAATAGAATGTTAATGTTTACTTCCACTTAAAGGTGAATGGTGGAGGAACTATGGATACATACACCAAATCTTCAAAGGCTTGCCATAAAGAACTTAAGTTTGACTTGTAGCTCATCGGGATGTGAGCGCAATTGGAGTACATTTGAGCATGTATGTTATTATTACATTTTTTAAAACTTCTAACAACATATAGTGTATCAGTGATTTAGTGTGATGTTTTCATTATGGAGTCAAGACTAGCAAAAAAAATTTAATATAAATTTGTAACATAGATTCATTCGAAGAAGAGAAATAGGCTTGAGCATCAAAGGTTGCAAGATTTGGTTTATATTAAATATAACCAAGACCTTAAGGAGCGGTTTGATAGTCGTGATTTGATCGATACAGTTCGCCTAAATGATATTGATGGTAGAAATGAGTGGTTGGTGGGAGTAATGGGAGGAGATGGAGAGGATGCCGAGGATGATTTGGTTTTCGATGATGATGCCAACTTTACTTGGGGAGATGTTGTTGATCTCATTGGAGTGTGTGACTCCTTGATAAACACTAGGCAGCAAAGCAGAACAAGTGAAAGAGTTACAAGCTCTAGAAGATGTACAAGGTCTCGAGGAGAGTCTAGAGGAGGCACAAGCTCTAGAGGGAGGGGCCACTCAATAGAAGATGTAGAACATGTTGAAGTGGCAGAGCAGACAAATGTGGAGGAAGAAATTTATGATTACTCTAGTAGTGAAAATGACAATGAAGATGAGATAGAGTTGGAAGAAGAAGAAGAAGAATTTGATGAGGAGTGGTTAATGATGAATTCAAAGGGCTTGCAAGTTGGATCTAAATTTTTTGACTGTTAATATATCATGGCTTAAAATCTTAAACTAGAACCTTGTTTTTGATTCAAGATGTTTTAATCATTAATAGCATCTTATGTTTTGGTCATGAAACTAAATACTTAAAAGAGTATTACTAAGTAACCATTAGCATATATCATACTTTTTGAACTTGAAATGTGTATGTAATGTACTATATATGCTTCCAGTAATTACTTATGTATTATATTTGAAAGTAGCCTAAATAGCGGTCATCCTGCTATCCGCTATACCGTTGTAGCGTTTTTGGGGCTGGCCGCTCCGCTCTGCTATCTGGGATTGACAATGGGAACTTCCCCGGCCTCACCCAATAACTCCTCCGAGTTTTGGACCTTACTGGTTAAGGGCCTGTTTACTAACAGAGATATTTTCTAGTTTTCCAGAAAACTGGAAAACTGAATAACAGAAAACAGGAAACGTGTTTACCAAAGAAATTGCTGGAAAACTGGAGAAAGGAAAAAAGAAAAACGTGTTTACCAAATCGTTTTCCAAAACGAAAAAAATGAGACATGTCTCTCTATTCCTTGATGATTTGGAGAAGTGACTTTTACTAGTTTTCCAAATTTGGAAAACGCAGATACTACAGTGTCGCTGCAATGAATTTGCATACTTACACCTAGTGGTGGGTCCGGTCCCGCTACGATGTCGATTCCATTCCATTACCTCCATCCTCGTACCTTACCCCTTACCCCTACCCTACCCTACCCACCCAACCCCCACCTCGCGTACCCATTTTCCCTATAATGACCCTACCACATGCCCCTACCTCGGCCCCACCCTGATCCACCCTACCCTACCCCCACGCCTTACCACCTCGACCCCACCCCAACCCACCCTACCCTACCTCCACCCCTACCTTACCCCTTACCACATGCCCCTACCTCGGCCCCACCCCACCGCCATCGGTACCCCCACCCTCGTACTGCCATCCTACCCCCACCACCATCCTACCCCCTACCCTTCCCCTACATCGGCCCCACCCGAATCCCAAGTCCACCCTACCGTCATCCTATCCCAACTCCCTACCCTACCCCTACCTTACCCCTACCCTACCCACTACCCCCACCCTTACTGCCATCCTACCCCCCACCTTACCCCTTCCCTACTTTGATCCCACCCTGGTCCTGGCCCCACCCTATCCCAACCTTACCCACTACCCCAACCCTACCCCACCCTTACCCTAACCACGACCCTAACCCACCCACTACCCCTACCCTGACCATACCCCTTACCCCACCCCCACCCCCACCCACTACCCTGACACCTACGAGTAGGGTATGGGTGGGTATGAAGGGTTGTGGGGGAGTATGAGTAGAGTGTAAGATCGTGGTAAAGGCAGGGGTAAGGGTCAAGAGTGTGGAATTGAAGAACTGAATGAAAACATTGATGAACATGTTTTCAGATTTGAAAATGGAAAACTAAAAGATAGAAACAGAAAATTGGAGATAAAAAAACTTAAAAATAAAAACAGAAAATTGGAGAACAAAAAACAGAAGTAGAAAATCGAAAAATATCTCTGTTAGTAAACAGGCCCTTACCTTTGGTCACACATAATCTATTTTTCTCTATTTCACTAACAAAATACAGTTTTAAATATGGAGTACGTTTTTTATAATTTGGCAATTCTAGCTCACTATTCATATCTCCAATACAGTCAAACACGATCACTGAATTTTTCTTGGAGGGATCCAAAATGGACGATCACTAAATTTCTCTTGGAGGATCCAAACTGGAAACATGCAAAGTCAATTATGTGAAGGATGAATTACATCACTTCATGAAGAGTGGATAATTCTTTGTTGTACCTTTTCTTATTTTATATTCTTTCACCTCATGTTTCATGACAAACTTTAGACACTTATCACACTCTCTGCGCTTTAAAGCATTATAGTAATTGAAATCAAGTAAGAACTTACCTATGATTTTAATACACCTAGTTAGAAAGTGAAGTTTCTTCTTAGTTCTCTTTATGCTTTGTTGGGTATTTCTTCCTCCTTTTAGGATACAACTTCCAATTCAAACAAAATTTCCCATTGTGAGCGGTGAGGGGTGTTTAATTATTTCACACGATTATAAATTATGAACTCTTAAATTAACATGCTTGTCTTGCTACCAGAATGATCTTTTAGCACAAAATCAAGCCTTATCATGCTATCGTAGCAAATCGATTTATATTCATGGTGTGGATTGTAAAGTGTAGAGACTGTATAACCAAGCTCATTCCGCCAATCATGGTGTGGATTATTTGGGGTCTTTTGTATATGGGCCGCACGTTTCTCCTATTGGGATTATGGTTTCTCTCTCTTTAAATGCTCACTCTCTCGTTATAATCATTATCAGAAAATAATAGTAACATTCTGACTTGGTAGCGCCCCCAGACGTAGTCATTCTTGATGAACTGGGTTACCAAACTCTTGTGTTCTTTCTTATCGTTCTTCGTATTGTGTGTGTTTAAATCGTAACATGGATCTCTTATAAAAATGAAAACTAGTGAAGATGGTAAAAAAGAAGTGATATGGTTTCAAAAATCAAACATTGCCTCACATTATCAAACATTGCCTCACATTGGTATAGTTATTATTCAAAACTATAAGCTCATAAAATTAGTCATATATTTATCATTCAAACAATATAATTTAAAATCTTGAAAGAAATTATATGCAGTGGGTTGTCATTTATATAGAATATGTACGTATTAGGGTCATCATGTGTAAACTCGGTATTATGTGTCTATTAGCTCATTCTTGTAAACCCTAATTTCTCCCTATTTATAGGATAGTTAGTAATGAGCTCACACACACAATTCTCTCTACAACACATAATAAATTCAGTATATGACAAAGAGGCAAGTGCTTGATATAGTACTGTCATTGTTCTAAAACTCGTCAGACGCTAGTCAAACGGTTGAAGACGCCTAGCACCCAGGCGGCCGACTAGGCCGATTTTTAGAATAGTGAGTACTGTTAACCTTTCAAGTGTAAAGCTTGTAGGACATAATTTCTATGTTAAAAATGTGATGAGATAATGGGGTCTTGATTATTTCTAGAACGTCCTGGGTTCAAATATGAGAAGTTACACTTCTCTATTATGAAGACCAATAAACTTCTCTACACGCACCATACAAACTTGAACATAAAAACAAATTTAAAAGACAAATGTATACAAAAATATGCTTAAACCAACCCGGACTGAGATGAAATGATCCAAATTAAACGAATCAAATTGATCAAAATCAACTCAAGTAATAGTGGTTTTTGGGTTCCATATATCATAATGGACCGACTGAAAAAACGAATCAATAAAATTGAAATCGATTAAGACCCATTTGGTGACCCCTTTTTTCGGCTAATACTATTTCATCAAACACGTAACTTTTAATTTCGCACACTGACTTGTGTAATATGCAGAAAAAGTAAGGTTGAAATTACTTTTCTGGTTGTATTGGCTCAAGTTACTGTAGAGAATCAGCCAATGCAATCACTTTAGCCAGAACTTCATAAATTTCAACACAATCAGCCAATTCAGCCAATTTTAGTGTTAAGTCTGACAAATACCCCTATTACAAAGTTGTAGTAAATGTTTACACAGTTGAGAGAATGAACACATAAAAGCCAACAATTTAATAGAGATCAATGACAGCCTTTGGTGAAGATCTAGAGTAGTTGAGCAAGGTTTGACCTATCTTGACAAAGACATTTGTATCTTTAATATGAAGAGAAATCTCCATCTCTTCCAACACTGGTGTACTCTTAAGAAGGATTCGAGCCAACGTAAGCAGTGGGTCACCAGCAAGTTTTGGATCTGCCAACCTAGACATTCTGATCGTCTTCAAATGCAACAAGTCACAAACCAAATTCTCCTTTGTAGGTGGGGTCCAGTTATGGTCCAACTAGAATCACAACAAATTTAAGGCAAACATATACGGAGTATTTAATAAGGTGGAGTAAACGCAGATTTTATCATAAAATATTACCTACAGAGCATATATGTTACCTGAAACAATATTAAACAAATAGTCAAATATTCATACCAAAAATCAAGACTAGAATAGTTAACACTTACCAGATCGGGGTCATAACAATGCAGGACCAATGTCTCAATGTCGGGAGAAGATTCCAGCACTTCAAAAATGCCAGGAATTGTTTGCCCAGCTTCACATATCATATCTATTTCTAAACACCTTAGCTTATATTTTGGAAGATGCCAACCATTAAGCACCAGTGCAGCTAGAGCCTAGTATACATGTTGCAGAAAAACACATACTCTGTATTATAGCTGCATAGTATATATATACAATAGAAGACCTGCGTGCATATATTCAACACAAGAAAATGACTTTTGAATAGGAGTGAAAAAACGGAATCAAAGTTAATGTTCGATGCAGTTTCGTTTTGACATTCAAAGCATGAAACCACGACTTTATTGGTTTGGTTTTCAAATTTTTTACAAAAAAATGTTGTCATTTGATATTAAAAAAAGTGACAATAGTTGGAAAAATCAAACCTGCAACATAAAAAATATCAAACAAACTGGATGAAATCTGAAATAGAAATGGTAAAGGAATAAATATATTTGTGACCTATACGTTAAAGAAAACATATTTTTCTGATTTTCGGAACACCTTGTAGAGTATGATTATATAGTATTGTGTATAGAAAAAGAAAATTTAAAAGGTTTTTTTAAAGTTATGTACATTATATCCATCATTTTTATTTAATAAAAACATTTTTTCCTGTTTGGCAGTTTTAATTAAAAAAATCTTTTCTAGACAAGAATATACATGCTTTTAACTTGAAAGTTTTTGGTTTAGATATAAAAAAGTTCATGAATCTTTTTCTTGTTACGTATTTTTGAAATTATTTATTAGTTTTATCAATAAAAAGCTTTAGATACAAAAAAACACTCCTTTATGCTATCAAAATGTTATGTGTCAAAAAAACTACTCCAGTATGCTGTCAAAATACTCCAATAAAAAAACTTTAGATACAAAACGTTGAGGTTTGTATGAAAACGATAAAATATTCATTTTCACAACAATACAAAAAATACTAGCAGTAGACTACTATGGAAGTTCAAATACTATTAAAAGAATATAAAATTAATTTATCAATATTGTACTCTCTATTAAATAATAATATAACACCACACATTAATTTGTTTGTACTTGAAAATCAAAGACTAACAATAATAATAATTAGGATTAATGTGTAATGGTCAACAAATAAAATTTCATATTTTTAAAAGTTCAAGATATTCTGTTCGGTTTGAATGTACAAAACTGAAATTGAACAAAATAATTACATTTCATTTTCTAGCACTAAGTTTCAGTTTTTTACAGTTCAGTTTATTTAGGTTGTGGTACCGTTTACATTGATTCAGTTTCTAGAATCCACACCTACTTTTGAATAATTATTGATTCGTCGGGCATTATAAACCCATGGTTGACCAACAATCTTCCAGAATTTAAACAACATTTCACTTCAATATGTGAATGATCACCTCATAGGAGCAAAACAAATTATTTTACTCGGCAGCAGACAAACAAAGACTACCAACTCAGGATGTGAGGTTAGAGTAATCACTGTGACAAAAACCACTAAGATAACTCAAGATACTTAATTCTTCTCATGATATCTCTGTATTGCTGTCAAAATAATAAAAGGCAATTAATTTTTTTTTGAAAGAATAAAAGGCAATTAATAATTTTAGTTAAGTGTAACTCTTTCTTGGAAACACGTGATACATCCATGACACTTCTGAAAGTAACTCTTTGATGAATTTAGAAGTTGGTTCTGCACATTTTTTTTCTAAACTCATTGTACTCATCTAAAATGTATTTCCTCCAATTCTATAGAGAAAGTATAGATATTTCAGTTCACTTATTGCCATGAGACTAGTGAACGAGGTGCATTTGTCCACATGGGTTGTTGACTATATTATCATTATAACCCCATGGTTGCATAAGAATAACAACTCCAGCAGCATTATCGTAGTGTCTTCCTTTGAAACCAATGAGCAACCGACAATTAAATTTCAGACAGAGTAAAGACTATATAGAAAGTTAATAGTTTGACTGTTTGAGATAATTGAAACTATCCAATGAGACTATCCTATTGAGCGACAACATTAAAAGTTTAGCTAGATCATTTGAATTTCAACTTTTGAAACACAAGAATGACAAAAAGCTTGGAGCTTCATACCTTAAGCGGTTCAGAACCCAGTTCAAGCTCCTTAACATGGTGAATCTTTTCGAATATTTCCTTGGTATTACTCAGCACATCCTCGGGGATTATCAAATCTAAAATGGGTTCACTAAAATCAATATCGGCACTGATAAGAGATGAGATGTCTTTGAACTTTATCTGTCTTCCTACAGCATAAAACCAAAGATTTAAATATTTTATGTATGGTGCTGAAATTTGCAGGAGACCCCCACTTTCTTTATTTTCAGGGTCCTTTACCCGCAGTTCACATAGATTTCGAGAGTTGATCTCCAAAACCGTGAATCCCCAACACTCACTCAGATCCAAGGAAGTCAAAACAGGACAGCCCGATAATATCTTTTCAACTACAGACTGAGGTAAATTCACTTCCGATATGTTTAATTTAGTCAAAGATGACCACTTAATTGATCTTTCAGGATAAAAAATGCAACCTTCTAAAGACAATGATGTCAAGGATGAATTCGAATACATCAATTCACGAAGAATGTAGAAATCTTTGCTGTAGCTTCTGCTAAAAGTGATTTCTTTCACCTTATTTTTCAAGGCAAACTCGAACCAGCTATCAACATCTGGAGCAAAGCAATCCTCATACTTGAAATCAACAATCATCTTCTCGAGGTAATTTCCACGACGAGTAGCAATGATCCTATTAACCCACGCCACAAATTCAATTGTATTCTTAGTTTCCTTACTCTTACCCCAATCATAAAATTTGAATTCAAGGCTCCGCAATTCAGACCAAAGAAACTGCCATCTTTTCCCCAAAATACTCGTAGCAGCAGCTGTCTTCACAACCAAAAAAGATATGATGTGAACAAGTAAGCAATCTGGTAATGCACTGATCCTATCAATTGAATCCCTAATTCGTTTATTTTCCCTAACATTTTCCTGGGAATAAATTTCTCCATTTTCAGCTCCAAATTCTTCTCCGTTGGGTAAACCACTTTCTCCAGATTCTGGAGTTTCTTTGGCTAAACTGATTTCACTCATTGAGGTGATAAAAACACAATCTCGAAATAAAAATATGGACTTTACGAGTCCAGATGACTGGCAGTATTGTAGCCCGCAATTCTGTTGCCTTCGCTCGGTCAATGACTTTCTCGATCTCTAGAGAGAGATGAATCCTTGTCAAATACTCCGTGATAAGTATACTCAAACTGCAGATATTTGCGCTTTTCAGCTACAGGTATTTCATTGGTTCTAGAAAGAACTGCGTGTATTCCAAATTAAGAATTTTAGGATTCACTTCCAAATGAGATCAGACCAAAATAGATAAGATCATGTTTAATCAAAATAGATTTCGACAATTGTAATACCCATAGATCAGACATCTACCACACTAGACCAATCCAGTTCACAAAAGACTAGACCAGAATAAAAAAGTTTAATCCAATTAAAAGCATACAACATTGCACAAGTACTGAAAAATAAAACAGGAGAAAATAGAATACTTTGAAACAAAAAAATAATGGAAAAAATAATACTACAAGCTTTCCTTTAGACAAAAAACTATGACTCATTTTTTTTCTGGACAAAAAAGAGACAAATTATATTTGAACTCACAATATACCTAATATAAATAGAATACCAATCCCTAATATCCCCATTTCTTCTCTCATTTTCAGATCTGGCATTTTGCACTAACCTCCTGGCTGCCAGCCATCGCCGGTGCCACCCGTCCACCAGCGCCTTCCGGCCTCCAGTGATGCCCGCCTTCCGTTGTCGACAACGTCAATTGCGTTTCTGCCATCATCCATGCCTCCCGCATTCGCCTAAAACATATTTCTTCTTCATCTATGTCTTCAGCCGCCTCGTCGATTCAGACCTAGGGTTTTGGATTTGAGTGTAGGGCAATAGTGACTGGGGTTGGGCAGATCCGCAGATGTTGTTGGGTAGGGTGGATTAGTGACGATGGTGCCGGGGTTGGGGAGTGGAGAGGCCGCGGTGGTTTGAGGATTGGGAAGATGGGCTTGGTAGGGGGCTGGGGAGGTGGGCAGTAGGTGGTGTCACCCAGCGGGGGCAAAATGCCGCGGTACTAGCGTGACGGGGTTACGGTGTTACTAGTTTTTCTGGATGGAGATTGTTGAAAACTGGCCACTAGGGCGGTGGTGGTCACTGCCCATGTTATGACCAGCGGTAGTCACTGGGCGGCAGCGGTAGTTACTAGAGCCGGTGGCGGTCATTGTGGTCGGCGGCAGAGTCAGTGCCCAGTTCATCACTGGCCGGCGTTGGTCACTATGGACGGCAATGGTCATTGGGGTCATTAAGTAAAGCTGTAAAGTGCATTTAAAACTAAAGAAATGTCTCTTTTTTATCCATTACTTAGTTTTTAGTAATACTCGTAAGTGATGCGTGCGTTGCACAATCTAATGATCTCTTGTTCTATATAGTAAAGTTGAGTTTTAAAATGTTGATGTGTCATTCTTTAATGTTTTTTTTAACAAGGCGGCTTAAATTGATATCAAAGCATTAAGCAAGGGAACAAGAAGATAAAATGACCACTTCCAACCACCGACCCTCAAACCAGACTTAGAGTCAATCACCCAGAAAAAAGTAATATGGCTCGCTGATCCTGTAATGGGTCTAAATGAGCCTAACGTGGTTAGAGTAAACTCCTCATCGCCCCAACCTAATTCAAGAGTCTGGCAAAAATAAGCATACATCACAAACAAAACAACATGTAGTTTGAAGTAAAAACACAAACAAACCAAGTATTCCAGCTCTGCTGGTTGTGAGTTTATCGTGCCTAGTGGGAGGTCTCGAGTTTGAAACCCGCTAGGCACATAAGGTTTGAAACTCAATGGAATGAGTTTCGGCCCTGTTTACTCCGGGCTCCCCCAGACCCCTAGACCCCCTGGAGTAAAAAAATATATGTAAAAACACAAATAAAATAAAACAGAAATAGAAATAGTCGTCCAAACCCTAGTCGCACAATTCCTCTATGGCGGCGGTTCGGGAGGGGGACAGATCAACATCTCTTCGTCTTCTTTCGCCCGTAAACTCCTGTTCGGAGACTCTTCGTCTCCAACGACCTCCTCGTCCAGAATCAGATCGTCCCATCACCCCCGAGAATCATGTTATCACATTTGTTGACCATCTCCTCCAACTCTGCCATAATCGTTCAATAGCTTGCTTACGCTTGAAACACTGCCTCTGCCTTGCTGCGAATTTGTTGCCCTGGTCTACTAGCCCTCCGCAGAAAGGACGATGCCGTTCCACCGCTGAAAACTTTCCGAGCTGCTGCAACCACACCGCCGCACTAGGGGACGACAAATATCAACACCTCCGGATCCAATGAACAGACTGTTCACCACCGAAAAAAACAACTAGGATTTCCCTAGACACGGCTGCCGGAAAATCAGGTTCCAAACTCCTTAAAAACCTGCACTGCTCTGTTACGCCATCATTCCTTAACAGTCAATCAACCTGCTCGGTTGCAAGACTAAAGCGAGAGTGCGGTGGACAGAACTGGTCACCCAAAGCAGCTTCACTTAGTCTTCAATGTCGTTACCAGCTTCATTTAATGGTTAACAATTGTAATATCAAACATCAATTTTACTTAATTAATTATTTAATAATTCATTTGGTAAAGAAAAACAATCTTTATCATTTGTTGTAGAACTCTTTTATAGCAAGTAGTTGTTCATTTATCAGGCTTAATCATTTGGAATTGGTTTTGGACTCTTCCATACAGCTAAATTAATCCATTCGTTAGGCTATTTTATTGGAATTACTGTTGAGAGTCTTTTAGATAGAGCCTACTTGAATAATTTAGTTCATAACATAGTCTTCCGAATAGTAAATACTCCCTTCGTCCCTTATAACTTTGTCAAATTTGACTGACATGAAAGATAATAAATTAAAGAAAATTGATTGAGAATTGTGTGCAAAAGAGAGGAATAATAGGAACCACAAATTAATTGATTTAAAAAAAATGACAAAGGTTTTGAGACCGCCAAAAAAGAAAAGATAACAAAGTTATAAAGGACGGGAGAGTAACAGTTAACTAATTGCTTGACATACAAGACCATTCTTAAATGGCTAAATTCGAACGACCAAAAACTAAACAAAGCAAAAGATATCTTTTTATTATATGTGAAGTACAACTAAATTTTTCGAACAAAATTGCATTCCAGAGCTCAGAAATTTTGAAAAATTACTTTATACGCATCATTTATAGTTTTGTTGTTTGAATGAATATGTCTTCGTTTGAAATCAATAACTTAAACCTCCTCCTATCTGTTACTTGTAGTGGCGGAACTAGCTTGGAGATCTTGGAGGGCATGTTAGCTAAAAAGGTTCGACCCTTTACTACCTTAAGAATCAGTGGATAAATTCTTTTCATAGGAATTCTTTGACTAGAATTGAAGTAAAACGAGTATAATTGTAAAAAACTAAAAATAGCATTATAAGAAATTAAATCAACAAATCCACAATTACAATACAATTAACAATTTATCAAATGAAAATAACAATAAATAAACTCCACATCAGACTTGCACTTACATATAAAATTGGTTTAATAATGAATAAACTCTACAATAAACTTGCACACAAGATAGATAATTTCAGAAATAGAAATAATAATAAATAAAGTACACAAAGACACTGTCAATTTAAAAACTTACGGGAAAGGGAAAAAATTCGAACGGCGGTCTTCTGGAGGCCTTGGCGGTCTTCTGGAGGCCGGAAAGGCGGGCAGAACGGCGTCACCCCTCGCTCGTCGTTGGCGTAATGGTGTTGCTGCAGCGCAGAACGACGGAACTGGGAAGAAGATGTGGGCTTGCTGAGTTGCTGGTCGCGTGGCTGGGTACTTGGTTGCTGCGCAGAACTTTTCTGTACACTTGGGCGGGCCGTTCTTATTACGGAGTACAAATTAGAATGAAAAAATGGGCTGGGGCTGCAGGTGGCTGGATATCATGATATGTAATACGGAGTACATTAACTAGAGCATGCTAAGTTACCGGCGCAGTTTAGATTAGGGTTGTAGACAATCGGCTTGAATAATGTGATTCTGTATCTGTATTTGTTTAATTTTTCTGAATACGAATCCGAATTTAAATATGAAACAAATATTATTTTTGATTTGTATTTGTATTTGTTTAACAGTACGAATACTTAAGAATCATATATGAATATCGAATCGATTTGATTATAAGTTAAATTTTAGTCAAATATCACTTTAAATACTTATAAAAAATGTGTTTTTAAAATTTAATTTGTAATATTACATTTTTCATTAAAATTTAATGGATCGGCGGCTCGGCGCATTTTTAGGTTGTGCACAATGTACTGAAGCGAGTCAGTTTTATAATTACGTACTATAAATAAATATATTTCAAAGCTAAGTTTGAAGTAAACGTACACTAACATTAATGTGTAAAATAAAATTATTTGTTTCCTTTTGAACCTTTTCTCCTTATGATACTTCTGCTTTATGACAAAGTGACTTGGAATGTATATACCTAAATGTATATATATATGGGTTACACTTTGAGGGTATAGCTAGTTTTTAAAATTATTGTAGTGTTATTATTACTATTATTACTATTATTATTATTATTATTATTAATATTATCACTATTATTAATCGAATATATTTGATTAATATTGAAATCGAATATACTGATATTTGTATTTGTATTTGATTACAATTTGAATCAATTTTTATATTCTTATTTGTATTTGTATTTAAATTTATCGAATTCGAATCATCTTATACGAATTCGAATCTTGAACCAACTGTAAATTATTTGATTCGTATACAACCCTAGTTTAGATGAGTGCATTTTAATACTGTACTCCCTCCGTCCCATAAAATAGTTCCCGCATTGACTTGGATCGGAGTTTAAGAAAGTGAGAATAAAGTGGAAATGTATGGTTGTGGTTGTGTAAGAAAAAGGTAAATGAATGTGAGCCATACAAAACTTTCCAAAAGGGGAAATGAGAACTATTTTTTGGGACGACCCAAAAAGGAAACCGGGAACTATTTTGCGGGACGGGGGAATACTACGTAGAATTCACTAGAGCATGTTAATTTTCTTATTTAAAAATGTGTTTTGATTTTATCCAAATAAATATAAGAATGATTAAAATGTGATTTTAAAAAAAGTGTGATGAAAAATGTGTAATTTTAATCAGATAGGGTAAAAAAATAGGAAAGTTCATATCAATAATAAATAAATTAATTCAACTTTTCGCCACTTTTTTCCGTTTATCCTTGAGTCCTTAACTGGTTAGTACCTATCATTTCAAAATCACATCATTAAATTTACATTATATTCTGCCCATATATATATTCATAATAATCTACCTTACTATTCTGATGACCCATCCCATTTTCTCTTAGCTTCCTCTCAGAGTGATATAAAAATCCACAATTACTATTAAAATAATCCCACCTTTCTCTCTTATAAAAATAAGAAGTGATATGGTTTTAAAAATCGGACCTTGCCTCGCATTGGCATAGTTATTACCACCTTCCTACCAAATGGATTTGGAAAGTCAACATTTTTTGGCAATCAATGTTAAAGTTCAATTCTCTCTATTGATAATGAATTCGATTTTTAATAATTAAAATTTACATATTCGGAAACTACATTGAAACCTCTTCAAAGTTGCAAACTCAATTTACAATAAAAAAAAATTGGCATCCTAATTAGTGAATAAAATAAAACTGTTTGACCCAAAAAATCACTTTTGCGAATCAATTTGGGACGGATGTAGTATTTAAAACTATAAGCTTCTAAAATTATAAATAAATTTATCATTCAAACAATATAACTTAAAATGTTGAAGGAAATTCTATTTATTGTGCTATCGTGGATATAGAATATGTATTAGAGTCTACTTGTGTAAACTCGGTATTATTGGTCGATCTAATGGTTCATCATTGTAAACCCGATCTCTCCCTAATTATATGTTATTTGGTAATGAAGTCACACACACAATTCTCCTTACAACACGTTAGTATATTACAAAGAGGTGGATGTTTGGTTTAGTAGTGCTAACCTTCTAAATGTAAAGCCCGAAAAACGTAATTTCTTTGTGAGAAAGTATGATGATATAATGAGGTCCTAATTATTTTAAGAACACACTAAATTCATATATGAGAAGTTAAACTTCTCTATTATGAACACCAAAATGTTCTGCTACTTAGTCTCTAAGTAGTCTCCAAAGTAATGGATACGTATAGTAGCTAAAGATTGTGAATAACAAATTTCTCAATAGAATTCCATTTAAGAATTGTATACAAAGCATGTGCTATATTTTTATTATCTCAAATCGGGTTGTTTTAAATTACATAATATAATAACATTGAAACGTTCACTTTTGGCTTAAACCAGTTCAGACCGAAGTGACACACCCATCTAAGTGACTACTTGATTGGAAAGGAAATCAAAATGAATAGATTATCCCTTGCACATTTATAAAGGAAATAAGATTTGAAGTTCCAAGTATCACCGTATCTCCATGATATAGACATAATCACATAATATATACAAATAATGGAATATGAGAAAAGTTATATATTTAAAAGTCATGCTTTTGAGATCAAAGATATTGGGATATAATTCATCAATTATATATATTCGAATGGGTTCTCAGACAATTTGATATTGATAAAATGCAAATTGTTAGCACTCCCATAATTGGTCGAAATATGGATATAAGTGTTGGAAAATGTGTTAAAAATTGTATCAAATGGTCAATTTTAGGCAATTTTTTTAGTGGGGTCAACTTCCGATTTGGGTCGGGCCAAAGTGATTTCGGATTCTCCTTGTTAAGTGATTTAATTTGATATGTGTTATACTCAAAACGGACAACGGGTGAATGAGAAATTGATTCTCGAAGTTCACTCGTTGAAATGGAGAAAACTAGGAAAATGGTGAGCTTCTAGTGTGATATTTCCCACACCGTAAAAACCAAAGGATTCTCACCCCTTATAAAGGGAAGCCTCTTTGAAGAAGTTAAGATTCCTAGGTGGAAAGTCTTTCTTCGCGCGCAGGGGGTGCTGATTAAATCCCGAAAATGGAGAAAAAAAACTGCGACTTGCGTGCGCATTATCTGAAAAACCTATCTTCTATGGATAAGATTTCATTTTTGTTTCTCCCGTAACGTTCCTAAATTTTGCTCAGTTGTTGAACGATCAGAATAGGCTGCTGCTGAAGCATTACAACATTAAATGTCAACGTTCTGCTACCTGAATGCAATTAAATGGACAATGTTTTGGACAAATCAATGCCCAATGTTCTGGACATTGATGTCCAACGTTCAAGACCAACACCATGCAAATTGTTGTTAGAATGATATCAACAATGTAATTTGATATCTATGTGAAACCATTAGCGTAATCTTCGTTCATCCCTTATAAATTGACAATTAATGATTAAATATTATTCCTAAAGGAATTAAAAATGTCAAAAGTATCACTCTAACAGAAAGTAATATACTTTGAGTTTCACCGATGATGGATATCTCCTGACCTCATTGGTAGTTCTCTAAATGAGTATATATTTATCATGAAAGAAACCATGATGTTTTGTACATAATACCTTGGTAAAATAGAATATGTATATGAGTCATCATGAATAAACTCAATATTATGGGACTATTGGCCTATCCTTGTAAACCATAATCTCTCCATATTTATAGAACATTTGGTAATGAAGTGACACACACAATTCTCCCTAAAACATTAAACAAATTATTATTAAGTGTATTTATGTTATAAATCAATTAAACTCTTTCACTTATTATTCAAACTCTTCTTTTCAAATCTGATTCTCTTCTTCTCAATCTTCTTCTGATAATACACTAGTTAATTAATATCAACCATTACAATAAATAGTGTAAACTATGATGACATAGAACAAATAGATAAATTACCAGAAATAAATTTACAATTAATAATAAGATGACATCAACTCTTACAATAATAATATGAAACTAGTAATTTCCAATCATTTAATAGCGGACAATAAGTGTTCCACAACTAAATATGAGTCCGGATAGTATAAGAGCGAGTCGAGAGACATGCGGAGAGATGCAACCACTGTCTTTCCTCCACAACATACCTTCAAGCACATGAAAGTTGACAACTATGCCAAACAATGAGAGAACAGCTTGGGCGAGCAACATTTCATAACTCTCTTGAAACGTCCTTCTTGCAATTCCGGTGATGAAGCAAGCTAAATTAAGAATGTAGATGCTGCATAGTGGAACTAGGAAGATGGGTGATGCTCGGAAGTCATATATGCCCGCCTCATAAAACTTCACTTGTTCATCGTCATCCACCTTATTAGTGAGGGAGAAATTTGCTTTATGCAATCCAATTTTGTTAAAAACAGAGTTCATAAGTGCATAAAAGTAGCATCCTCCCGATTTCATCATCCAAACCCTCAGTTCATACAATGCATTCCTAAACGGATGAGGATCACCATAGGCAAAGACTTCTTGCACATGCTTGAGTTGTGATGAGAGAAACGCATAGGCAAATGCATAGAAGAATGAATTCGAGACCTAGAAGATAGTTTATAGGAAGAAAATTAAAATCATGCCAAATAAATATTGGCTTTGATTTGAAGTCAAATTATATTTGGAAGTTTGAAATGAAACTAGATGTTAGTTGATCTATTCAATTGATTGAGCAGTTTATGTGTGGTATACTCAAATGTAGGATGACGAAAATTACTCATCATCACATGCAACTGAGCAGCCATCCTTTAGAAGAAAATGATTAAAAACATGCAGATGACAAGGAAATGAGCATGATTCCTATATAGAGAAATTAAGAATATGCCATCAAATGTGCAATATGATTTGTGCATGTATGTAAATGTCAAAATGAAAAGGAAACATATTGAATTATCATCTCACCTTGGGATATAAGGGAATGC